GCTAACTGAAGTTTCACAGAATCATTGCAACTTTGTAGAAGGTCAGTTAGCTTATACTAAAGGTATTTTGTCTATGGATTAGGAATAGTGTGTTCTTTTATACTGCACAAATTGTGTTTCATAAATGAAATTAATTTCATATTTGAGAAAAACCAGTGAAGTGTAGTGAAGGGAAATATAAACACTTCAAAAAATTGTTTAGATGGGGTTGATCGAGGATTTCTGAAATTTTTTATCCTACAAATAAGTTTGCCTGTTATGTTGCAAGACAGACATGAATATGATATAGTTTATTTAAAGAAAATCACACTTCCATTAACATGTCTTGAAAAACTAGTTTGTAAGTTAAGCAGAAACTTTGCTGAGGTGAGTGGGCAGAAGAGATACCAGAGGGCAGGGTACGACAAGGCAGCAAAATGTTCCCAGATACCATATGAAATATGGAATTCTGTCACGACTGACCCATATAGTACATGTTATAGAAGCATTGTAAGTTCTAAATAAATATAAGCTACTAAATCTTGTCTAGGAAAACCTGCTTGGATGAACGATTCTTTTAAGAAATGCAATCCAGTTTGCATGCAAATTATTTTTAAGCCCTTCCATGTATCAGCCTCTACTATGTAGAATTCATAAATTTGGAGCTACTGGGATTTGCTGTTTTATGTAGGCTTGCATTTATGTTACCAGGACTGTATGAGAATGGTTTCTTCCTATGATTACAATACTGTTAAAAACCCTGGTCAATATGAATGGCTAACACCAGTATAAAATGCTATTTTTAAGGGTATGCTGACAGAAGAATGTTGGGATGTAAGAGCCCCTTCATTTGATTTCTGATTTTTCATGTTAACCTGTCAGCTCAGGAATAAGTGATAATATGATACGTTCCCATCAACAGAATGCCATGCCATATATTATTTAAAATATACTTTACTGAATTTCAGTGATTGCGTAATAGGATTATAGCCTTGATGTGCTAGTGAAATCACGAAGATATGGTATAGGCCAGTATTTCTCAACCTTGGCTGCTTGAAGACGTATGGGCTTCAACTCCCAGAATTCCCCAGCCAGTGCAACTATAGATGTGCTGTAATTACAGTGGTGTTAGGAGACATCTATTACTAGAGAGTGATCAGGGATCAAGGGAGGGCCCAGTAACTATTGCCCAATTATTCTGCGAATGAGAAGCATGTTGATACTCCTCATATCAAAAGCTTAGGCTGGAAATTGCTAGCAGCAGCAGCAACCATGTGGTTTACATGGCTTTGTATCTCCACTGTTGTTTTCCAGCTGGTAAGGAGTACTGTGCCCTGAAACATTTTCTAGGTGTATCAACTAGAATTGGGTATTTGACCAATGTAAAGAGACTGAAAGGGGGTAGGGGAGGGGATGCCTCTTGGTTGAATCCAGAGCTTGTTTTTCATGATGGAAGAAAGTCTTCCAACTACAGTACAGTGATGGAAATCTACAGTATGTTGGGGAGGTTATTTACACAATCCCCTCTACAGTTCCACATGCTTTGCATTATTTCATTTAATAATGACCCCAGAGCAACATTTCAGGGAGCTTCAGGAGAAGGAAAAATTATTGCCAATGTCCTTCCCATTCTTCCTTCATGTGTCTTATGAGTTGAATTTCTCATATGGAACTTAGATCCAATTTTTAGTTAACTGACTAAAATGTATGACAACATTTGTTCAAAGCACTTATATTAAAAATACAAGGATAATTTTCAGCAGATTTAATACTAATATAATTACAAGTTTAAAAATTAACTGTTGTAAAACAATAACATTAGTAGTGTATTAAGGGCACCTGATTTGTTGTATTCCCCTCATTCTGTATTTTATTCCACGTATCATTTACCACATTTAGAGTAGTTTGCATGCTCTGTCATCTCCAGTTTTATTCGCAAGCTGTGTTGGGCTGAGTCTGTGACCAGTCCAGGGTCATTTAATGAACTTTATGGCTGAATTTAGATTTGAATTATGATCTCCTTAAGTCTGATGTCCACACTATAGTTTTTTGGCAGTGATCATTAAAATCAATAACTGCTGGTATTTCTATTTGGGGGTAGCTGCTATTACAGCAGATTAACGTTGCTATTCTCCTAGCTCTGCTAGTAAATTGCAGAAGACTCAGTGGGCATTGCTATTTTGCTTTTTCCTAAGAAAAAATTCTGAAATGAAGTAATTTGAGACATCATCTGTGTGGACAGTGGATAACAGTCTATTCTCTGTAAAGCTCAGGATGTATTGTTTTTATTGTATAGATTTTTTTCCTAAGGAAAAGTAGGTTCCTCAAGCTGTTTTTTGGGGGTCATTCTGTGTAGTAGCTTGTCTGTTAGGACTAGTGCAAATACCTGTATTACTGCATGATGGGTACTTTGACAGTGAAGCCTTTGGTATGATCCCTCAGTATCTATGCCTTTTTATAACTCTACTGGTTTGAGTTTTTTTTTTTAAATAGGATACTGTATACATATTTTAAATAATTATAATAAAATAAATAAAAATGGACCTTAAGTAAATGCAACATGAACTTTACTTATATAACCTTGTCCCTTTTCTCTCTTTCTTTAAATGGACTATATATGCCAATTAAAAATTATAAGCAGTGAATTAGAACTATGATAATAGTTGTCCATGGCCAAATGGTAGACTTATTGGAAGAAACATCAAACTTCTCAAAGTCCTTTAACCAACAACAAAGTGTACTCTTGTTCCAAACTCTCATGACAGTATAGTATGTACTTGGAATTATACCTTGAATGTGCTAGTTTATAAGTAACTTCTGAATGTACATGGTTGCCCTTTTAAGAGACAGTAAAGCAAATGTGGGTTTGATTGTGTCAGATTGTGATGTTCCTTGCCATAAATGCATTTTCTACTTCCCATCTATTCCCTGTTCTCCTCCATCGCAGACACTGATTGATATGTATGTATGTATGTATGTATGTATGTATATGGTTTTTTTTATACACACACACACAAACACATATACACACGAGTTATAAAAAGGCTGTGTGTGTGTGTGTAGTTAAGAGATGAGTGATTCTTGGTGTGTATCTGCATATACATTGTATTAAGCTAAAAAATTATTATGAAAACGTGTATGCATATCAATATTTATATATGATGGAAACCTAACTGCCACGTCTATCCTTTCTTTCTAAAAGAATAATCAGTCTTGCTCTGTAGAATAAAAATGGAGATCCAATGTGTTGTAGTACTTAAAGTGTTGAATTGGAACTGGGGAGATCCAGAAGGTCACTGGGTGACCTGACCAGTCAACTTCTCACAGTTCAACCTACCTCACAGGATTGTTGCAGGGAAGAATATATGTGTTATATGGTTATACAGTGGGGCAAAAAAGTATTTAGTCAGCCACCAATTGCGCAAGTTCTCCCACTTAAAAAGATGAGAGAGGCCTGTAATTTTCATCATAGGTATACCTCAACTATGAGAGACAAAATGAGAAAAAAAAAAATCCAGAAAATCACATTGTATTCTTTAAAAATCAGACAATGTGATTTTCTGGATTTTTTTTTTTCTCATTTTGTCTCTCATAGTTGAGGTATACCTATGATGAAAATTACAGGCCTCTCTCATCTTTTTAAGTGGGAGAACTTGCACAATTGGTGGCTGACTAAATACTTTTTTGCCCCACTGTATAACCATATAACACATATATTCTTCCCTGCAACAATCCTGTGAGGTAGGTTGAACTGTGAGAAGTTGACTGGTCAGGTCACCCAGTGACCTTCTGGATCTCCCATTCTTTAAAAATCAGACAATGTGATTTTCTGGATTTTTTTTTTTCTCATTTTGTCTCTCATAGTTGAGGTATACCTATGATGAAAATTACAGGCCTCTCTCATCTTTTTAAGTGGGAGAACTTGCACAATTGGTGGCTGACTAAATACTTTTTTGCCCCACTGTATAACCATATAACACATATATTCTTCCCTGCAACAATCCTGTGAGGTAGGTTGAACTGTGAGAAGTTGACTGGTCAGGTCACCCAGTGACCTTCTGGATCTCCCATTCTTTAAAAATCAGACAATGTGATTTTCTGGATTTTTTTTTTTCTCATTTTGTCTCTCATAGTTGAGGTATACCTATGATGAAAATTACAGGCCTCTCTCATCTTTTTAAGTGGGAGAACTTGCACAATTGGTGGCTGACTAAATACTTTTTTGCCCCACTGTATAACCATATAACACATATATTCTTCCCTGCAACAATCCTGTGAGGTAGGTTGAACTGTGAGAAGTTGACTGGTCAGGTCACCCAGTGACCTTCTGGATCTCCCATTCTTTAAAAATCAGACAATGTGATTTTCTGGATTTTTTTTTTTCTCATTTTGTCTCTCATAGTTGAGGTATACCTATGATGAAAATTACAGGCCTCTCTCATCTTTTTAAGTGGGAGAACTTGCACAATTGGTGGCTGACTAAATACTTTTTTGCCCCACTGTATATGGTTTTGTATGAAAAGTGGGCTATAAATAAAACAAATTTTAAGCTATTTTAGAATGTGATTACATTATAGTAAACATGACGAATGAAAAAAAAATGTAATCCATCCTTAACTGGGATATATTTAAAGTCATTTTTTTATCACAATGCATCTAGAGTACATATTAATCAAAATTGTCAGTTGCTGTTTAAAAAGCATGATGTTAGCCCTACACACAATTAGGCTACATAACAATCCCATTGTTATGTGAGCTTTAAACAGCTTGACCCATAAGAAGATTTGGTTAATTTAATAAAGGGAATGTAGTATTTTAGTTTGACCCCAAACTAATTTTAATACTGCAGAAATATAATTTCAGAATTGTAAAGGATTGGACTTTTATTGGCTCAAATTTGAAATTGAATATCAAGTATTAAAACAAACTTGTATGGCAAATTCACTTTTCTAAATTTAGGTGAAAAAACAATCTAATTAATAGTAAATCTCTAACTGTCTTTTTTCTGTTTTATTTTTAAGACAAGCAAAAATCAAATTAAAGTAGATCTTGTAGATGAAAATTTTACAGAACTAAGAGGAGAAATAGCAGGACCTCCGGACACACCATATGAAGGCAAGTAATTTTTTTCTGTAAATCTAAAAATTTCAAATCTTGTTAATTTTTAAAGTTCATAAGAAAAGTACAATATGTCTCATTTTGAAAGTTCTTTGCAAACTTAAATATTTAATATAACCTTGAAGCTAGTCATTCATATAGGATAACTGAAAGTTGCTTTCTGGTTTATATTTCATACCTACTCAAGCTGATCTGTAGTTCTTACAGTTCTTATGGTCTGCTTTTTGTGGAAGCTTTGCTTAATTTACCAGTGAAATATCTAAATATTTAAAACAGCATTCAATCGTTATTCCTTGGTGATATTTGCACAATGAAACAATTACATAAGGATTAGGTTTTACATTAATAAAATAGCTAGGGCAGGCAGAACTGCAGTGTTCTGTTTCCCTAAACCAGCTATCTGGGCATCCTCAGGATACGTGCATTTCAGTTCTGAGATTCTCAGCAATAGCCCTCTGGGGATTCTGAGAGTCGGTCCATGCTTCTGGAGAACTCCCAAGTTGCAGAAAGCTGCCCAAAATATTTGATGCCAGATAGCACTCAGAATGGTTTATGTAAGATGCTGCCATTTTGGGGATCAACTGTGTAGGGCTTTAGTTTTTGCATTGAAAATGTAACTGTTTCACAGGTCTTTCAGCTCACTTTTTTCTCTTCTCACCTTCCCTTCCTTGACACAGCATAGCAACAAAATTCCAAGCAGCTGGTGGGTATCTGCTGACATGTGAATACTTAGAAAGTTTAAGTGTATTTAGATCTGTCTCTTCTGCTTATATTAAATAAGTAGTTTTCTTAATGTAAAGCTGTCCTGTAATTTCTGAAAAATATAAAGGACAAATGCTTGGCACTGTAGTTAATGCAGAATGTACCTTAAGGAAAACACTTTTTTAAAGTCAAAGCACAAATGTACAAGTCTTCTTCCTTCATTGGGTGTTCATTTAAAATGAATAGTGAATAGCTGTGGAAAACTGTTTCATCAGTGTAACTCCTTTTAAAACAGTTGTTTCATATTGTTCTTTTTGGGGGGACTCTTAAGTTGGTTTTCCCTCAAAAATAATGTAATCTGAATTCAAGTTTTTTCATCTTTGTTGTGGTTTCTGTGCAGGCCCCTCATATAGGCTGTATGCTGATATAAGCTGTGTACTTATGTTCATGACTCCAGCTAGAAAACATCTGTAGTTAGGCCAGATGGTGGAAGCTTGAATGTCTTCAAGGAATATGGCTGTAGTGTTCCCACTGGATTTTCCTCTCACTGGTAGAGCTATGCTTTCAGGGAAGTCACTTGTGAACCATTTTTTCCTTTCATGTTCTTTCTGTCTTGGCCTTTGTAGACTGTCAGTTTGCATAGCTTTTAATTTTAATTTGTTTTGTGGATAGCCTAAGGAACCATGACTCAGAGACTGCCTTTTATCTCAGAAGTGCTATTTTTGCTAGAGCACATTATCATGTTTGGATGCCTATGATCATAGTCTTCTTTTTTCAAGCAGGCAATTACCTAATCAAATTTTGTGGGTGTTGCTTCATCTTTGTTAGATACATCAAATTAAACACCCTGTTCTACAGAGAAAAGTGCTTCAGAATAGTTCCTTCAGGACTTTTGCTTCACTTGGACAGGCTTATATAAGAGGGCAAGATCACTGGACTTTCAGCAAACTTCCATCCTCTTCACTCAGATTGGTCTGCCTGTTTCTGTGCCATTGTCCAGGTCTTGCCAAGTCCTTCCTGGTCCATGATTATCCCCTTGAGAACACTTGTCAAAAAGATGACCTAAGACTTCTGGAACACAATCAACCTTTCAGGGATACTAGGAGTTTTCCCTTGGAATTGCAGGGCAGAATCACAGCCGTCCAGTATACCAAAGGAAAACCACTGAGACCATGCTAATTACTACTATTCTTTTTACATAATTAGTGTTAAAGTTGTTGTTTGCTCAATACCGTTGTTATTAGTATGTGGTCTCCATCATTTGAGGAACGTAAACGCATTATATAATAATGGAAAGTTATCATGATATAGGCAGATTGGAGATCAGGTTCTCGGTTTCAGTATCATCTTTTCTTTCTGGGAGAGGCCTATTTTGGTTCAGATAGCAAAACTACTGAATACTCTCATTGAACCTGCCATACTTTCAGTGAAGTTGCAGAACTTTTCTAAGACAGTCTGGAACGAGACTTCTCCCCCTACTTAACCCAATATTACATTCTTTACCAATTGAGATTTCTTTTATTCAAATAACAGATAATTGAGAATTCCTCTTTGAGGAAAACACCTTTCAGTCAGCATCAGATAGAATAGGAATATATCCATCATATGGTTTGTAACCAGATTCTTCACATATAGATTTGTTCCATAAAAGGTCTAGAAATACCCCAAATACATAATTTCAAAAACCTGAACCCCACAAAAGTCCTCTCTGTCATTTTTTTCCTGATTTATCCAATTGTTCCATAAAAGGTCTAGAAATACCCCAAATACATAATTTCAAAAACCTGAACCCCACAAAAGTCCTCTCTGTCATTTTTTTCCTGATTTATCCAATTGTTCCATAAAAGGTCTAGAAATACCCCAAATACATAATTTCAAAAACCTGAACCCCACAAAAGTCCTCTCTGTCATTTTTTTCCTGATTTATCCAATGCTAGCCAATCATTTATCCTCATTTCTTCAACACCTCCAGCCATTACAGAATTCTATATTTTCAGTTTGAATTTCAACCTTACTTATAAAAAGACCCAATTGTACATACGGGTCTTGCATTGCAGTGGAATAAGAATGCTTCGTTATTTCTTCTAGAATTGCCATGCTTGATAAAAAGATTTTCAGAAGATGTATTTGCTGCCTTTACAGTTAAGTGATTTTGACTTAGAGGCATCTTGTGATTGGTACAGATTGCTAGATGTTTTTTTTTTTTTAATTTATAGATCAGTACTCACCCAGCAGCAAAAATGTCTGTTACTAGGACGTAAATGTGTTAACTTACACTTCCTTACTGCTAAATTTAATGTCTTCATTCTGCTTAACGTGGGCAGTATCATCATGCAATGTTTTCTCAAATTCGTCTTTCTTTCCTAGGGCTCCTAATGAAATTGTTGGGCAGAAAATGAGGGGAGGGAGTTCCTTTAACTGAAATTTGGTTTTGCCATTCATTGTCTTTACACTGAGGTGTTTTTTTTAAAAAAAGTTCCTCAACTATGCAAAATATATAAAATTCATAATAGCTTGAATATCCTTGGGCAGAGTCTACTAAAAACTTTGAGGGCTCATAAAGGCCAACCCAGACAGGAAGTAAATTGTAAAATCCTACTTCTCTGGTTCAAATCAAATCAAATCAAAACCTTGAGGATTACCTAATGTCCCCCCCCATATCCAGAGCCCATCCCTGCCCATATCTCCTTATCCCAAACACCCTTCCTGTCTAACAGCTGCAAAAGTGAGGGCAAGAACAGAGGCTTCTCTTCTTCTCCCTCCACTTTCTGTCTTTTTTGAAGGCCATGGTAGTTTGGCAATTTCTAATTCTTGAAAGGCTCTTGTGCTACTGCCGTTGTAACTTTACAGGGGAGGGGAGAAATGTTTGGGGTGTGGGGGATAAGCACTTGACAACAAGGATTGTAGAGGACAGGGAACAATGTATGGGAGAAAAGAGAGGTTTATCTCAGAAAAAAATACCTAGTGTCTTCAGATCTTTAAATCTTTTCCAGAGAAACTCTGATTATTCTTGTGCTAATACTGTATAAGGGGATCCTGGGAGATTTGCCACTCCTAATAATTGTTTATTCTCCTTGCCTGTTATTTGGGGGAGGTAGTTTTTTGGCATCATCAATTTACATTTAAATTTGTGTTTGTTCCTTGCTAAATTGTCACTGGAATATTGGAATAATCTCACAAGGGCTTCTCTTTTTTTAATCAACTGAAGTATTTTATTAGTAGCTTTTAGTAGATTGTACCATGTGCCAAGAGCTTCTCTAGTGAGTAAAAGACAACAGGAATAAATAAGAACAATTATTGTGCTATTGTAGTGGTGCTCTAAAGGATCTCCACCCCAAAGGGATTGCAAACTGAGTAAACACTATGTAAAAGGAATAATGGTAGGGGTAAATACGCTGGAAGGCTACCAGTATAATTTCGAGCTATATTATAAAAGGAATCTATCCTGCCTTAGAACCACAAATTTAGAAGCTAATATAAGGTTTCCTTCTGTTTGAAGTTAAGTGTTACTTATTTCTCCAAAACAAACTTTTAAAATCCTATTTTATTGACTTAAATTAAAATTCAATGCTGTGATAAACTAATGCCTGCAAAGTATTTAGTGGTTATATGTTCTGGTTTTTATAGGAGGAAGATATCAATTAGAAATAAAAATTCCAGAAACGTATCCATTTAATCCTCCTAAGGTACGGTGAACATAATTGTTATGAATAATTCTTTGGATTGTTTCTCTAGAGTTGACACCTTTTTATGCAGTCCTGTTTATTTGTCCTGGCTCCCCCTCCAAGGTCTTTCTAGCTGAATACAGACCAAACAATAACTTACCTTTTATACTACTCTGTCAAAAGTCCCTGCTTATGAAATGCTTTACATACAATGAAACTTCAGTGTTATGGAGAAATAATTCATTGTCTCCTTTGTTTTATGTGTGATAACCTATACTAACGTCATTTCAATTAAATAGAAATTTTAATGAGATTGCTTGTTATAATGTTCAAGTGTAATAGTAGAAAATTGTATATATACTTGTTTAAGAATATTGGAACTGATATCATTGGAATAACATTGGAACCGATAGATGAAAACACTTATTTTCTTGGATACTTTAAAAAAAGCCAAGATAGATTACTGATAAAACGGTAGTAATTGCCAAAGTAATTGTGTGGGGTTTTTTTCCTGTAACAGTGATATCAGTTTGCAAATAATAAAGAAAAAGACTATCATACAGAATTACCACATTCTTATCTGTGGGCAGTGTCAGCATTGTGAAAGCTAATACCAGGATACCAGCTTTAACTTAATGTGGGCATTTGTAAATGATCTGGAGAACCTATACTTCTCACTTAATTCTTACAAATGGCAACACATTTAGAAAAGAAGCTTCATGAGACTGAGTGCCCTACATAGTTGGATGGTACAGTACACAATATGATGCACAATCCCACCAAATTCAGTCCTTAGTACTCCAAATACAGATGACTGAAACTCAGGAAGGTCACTTAGTGAAGACCACATCTGGGCTCCCTGCGGCATTTAAAGATTGTCTCCCTCTGTCCAATACATTTTCTAGCAATCCCCACAGTCCCACCATTGCTGCTGTGCTTCATCCATCCGATTAAGTGGACTTCATTCACAAAACCTGATGTGAAATTAAAAGTTACTCTCTAAAATGCCACAAGAACTTGTATTCTAAAATTTGCTATACCCTTCACCATACTTGGTTCTTCTCAAGAACAGTATTAATAGCAAAGGAATGGAATGCAGTAAGTTAGAGTGACAAAAAGATAGTTCTTTAGTTCTCAAATTCTCTTCTCTTTTCTTTGAAAAGTTAAAAAAAACCCAACAGATTGAAGTGATTTAGAACTTTTTGAGCAGGGAGAAGGAAGTATTTCCTATGCTGAGAAGGTGAATTATGTGATGAGTTTAGGTTTCATCTCCTTAAGATTCCACTCCTCCCCAAGCTATTGGAGGTAAGGATAGTCTGGATTTGTGTACATGTGAGAAAATCTGAATGAGGGGACTATGGACACGTTTGTATGCAGGTAGCGGTGGGCTCTGCTCTTTACCAGCCTGTGCTCGGCCATATCTCTTTTGTCACAGGGAGTCTTCAGGGGCAAAAATATTACTCTTGACAGTATTGAGCAGATGAACCAATAACTTGGGGCAGCTTTCCTCAGAAATCTGGATGAAGATTTCTGGTATGTAGGAGCACATAACTGAATATGTATTCAAAATAAATATGATTCTGACTCTGAATCTGCAGAACCCAAATGTTAGATTATCACTGTTTGTGGGAATAGCCGCCATTGTCCATTAAAATACTGTAATATTGTCCTGTATGGAGTTTATCCATTGTGTAGGAGCTATTTTCATAACAACTTCTCTTATGTTCTAGGTGCGGTTTATCACCAAAATATGGCATCCTAATATTAGCTCAGTCACTGGAGCTATTTGTTTGGATATCCTAAAAGATCAGTGGTAAGGTTCCATACAATGTTCTGGAAGATCCTAAAAATAATTCGAGAACCCTCTACAGGTAGTCCTCAACTTACAACCATTTGTTTAGTGACCAAAGTTACGACGGTGCTGAAAAAAGTTACTTCTGACTAGTCCTTGTACTTAGGACTGTCACAGCATCCCTGTGGTCACGTGAACAAAATTCGGGCGCTTGGCAACCGGCATGTATTTACAATGGCTGCAGGATCACATGATCACCATTTGCGACCTTCCCGGCCAGCTTCTGACAAGTAAAATCAATGGGGAACCATGTGATTCACTTAGCAACCATGTGATTCATTTAACAACCACTGCAAAAATGTGGAATCGGGTGTGATGCCTTACTTAACAATTGCACTGCTTAACAACAAATTTTCCAGTCCCTGTTGTGGTTGTAAGTTGAGGACTACCTGTACTGTAGACATGGGAAACAGTGATCCTTTCTTAGGTTTTAATTGTCAGTAGGGTTGATAGATTTGTCCTACACATTTCTTAGTTTTATTTTTAATTCCTTATATAATTTAATTGAAAAGTAGAAAATCTAGTGGCCATTAACTGTAGGATTTATTGATTTGAGTATCTGAGCTAAATTACTGAAGTCAGCCAAGGTTTTGCCATATAAAAGGTCCTCTGTAAGTTCCTTCATTTGCTAGTTTTATTAACTATAGTTTACCATTACAACTGAAGTCACAAATTGGCTATTGCTAGTCTCCAGATGGTTTTTCAGAGTGGTTAAATTGTGATTTTTAGGTAGCTTTGATAATAATTTCTTGAGTTTTATGACAAACTACACTTAGCAAAAGTGATAAAATGCAGGAATGAAGCATTGAGAGGACCAAAAAAAAATATATGGTGGGAATATTTTCATTCATGAAACTTAATTCTGGCAGTACATCTAAACTGAACTACTAAATTCAGAGATTTAGTTGAGTGTTCATTTCTGAACTACAGAAAATGAATTTAAAGGGGTGCTGCTCTGTATTACAGTGGGGCAAAAAAGTATTTAGTCAGCCACCAATTGTGCAAGTTCTCCCACTTAAAAAGACGAGAGAGGCCTGTAATTTTCATCATAGGTATACCTTAACTATGAGAGACAAAATGAGAAAAAAAAAAATCCAGAAAATCACATTGTCTGATTTTTAAAGAATTTATTTGCAAATCATGGTGGAAAATAAGTATTATTGACCAAATACTTATTTTCCACCATGATTTGCAAATAAATTCTTTAAAAATCAGACAATGTGATTTTCTGGATTATATATAACAAAGTATTGAGATGAACTTTTGATATTGACCAAATACTTATTTTCCACCATGATTTGCAAATAAATTCTTTAAAAATCAGACAATGTGATTTTCTGGATTATATATAACAAAGTATTGAGATGAACTTTTGATATTGACCAAATACTTATTTTCCACCATGATTTGCAAATAAATTCTTTAAAAATCAGACAATGTGATTTTCTGGATTATATATAACAAAGTATTGAGATGAACTTTTGATATTGACCAAATACTTATTTTCCACCATGATTTGCAAATAAATTCTTTAAAAATCAGACAATGTGATTTTCTGGATTATATATAACAAAGTATTGAGATGAACTTTTGATATTGACCAAATACTTATTTTCCACCATGATTTGCAAATAAATTCTTTAAAAATCAGACAATGTGATTTTCTGGATTATATATAACAAAGTATTGAGATGAACTTTTGATATTGACCAAATACTTATTTTCCACCATGATTTGCAAATAAATTCTTTAAAAATCAGACAATGTGATTTTCTGGATTATTACAGGCCTCTCTCATCTTTTTAAGTGGGAGAACTTGCACAATTGGTGGCTGACTAAATACTTTTTTGCCCCACTGTACATGTTACAATCTATTGATTTGATTTGATTTGTGTAGCTGCCCTGAGTAGTCTAATCTTGAATGTATCTTTTACCATTCAGATTGCCCTCGTTTTCGTAAGAGCAATGATTGAATGTAGAGTATAACGGTAGTTCATTTTGAATAGGAAGAGAGAAAAAAAAGAAAATGTAGAAGTAGGCACTTTTTAATATGCAGGGAACATGGAATATCTTCTTATAATATCAAGTAGATAGTTGGTATACAGAAAATGTTTAGCCAAGTTAATATCAAGCAGAGTGTCCTGTTGGTAATAGTTGCTTGGAGCATGAACGCTTGTTCACATAATTTGATTGGCAGCAGTGGACAATAGCCTGGAGCCTGACTTCACCTAGAATGCTAAGCAGCCACGTGCTCTGTAGGGTTTGGCTTAGCATGCTGCATGAACCAAGCCATTATGACTTGTAAACTTTGGTTTATGGCTTAATAAGTCTAGCCAGCTGTGGTTTATTCAGTAAAAGATGGTGAAGCAACCGGTAGCTTAGTACAATATATAAAGAGTAGTTACAGTTTAGCACTAGCTCCTTCGGGCTGAGCCTGTTTCAGTGGTGAATAATCTCTCCATCCCAAAAGCCGTGGGCCAGGGAGGCGGGTTCTAGCTTGCTAGATTCTAGGCTGGAGGAAATCATCCCCTCCCTGGGAAATATTTCCTGAAGGCCCCACGAGTGATCTGAAGTGCTCAAATTAAAACCTGGGTTTTGACTTAAAATATGGGTAGGTGGGATACTATAATGATCTTGTCCTGTACTAAACAAAGTGTATTAAATAGGTAATCAGAAGTTATTTATGTAAATAACATCCTGTTGGCATCCATGTTGGGCATGCTACATAAATTTTATTTTTGCTAATGGCGTGGTATTAGGAACAACGGCGATTCCTTGTGAACTTGTTCCAAACGTGTATTTTCAGGGCCGCGGCGATGACTTTAAGAACAGTGTTGTTATCATTGCAAGCCCTCTTGGCAGCTGCAGAGCCAGATGATCCCCAAGATGCAGTAGTGGCCAATCAGGTACAACTTTTTTTCTTTCCTCCTAGAAAATGCACTTACAGTTTCCAAGGGTTGGTTTGTTTTTTGCAGGGAGAGGGACATTAAAAATCTACAGGAAACAAGCTAGTGAAAGAAATGCTTTTTCTTGCCGGAATGGCAAGAAATTGCATACAGCTCCTGAGGAAGCAGATGGCCTTAATCTGAGTATCGTTCATTTCTCTGTGCTAGCTACAGGATTGTCCACAAGACTTCGATATGTTTTTTCTTTCCCTTTGATATAGTACAAACAGAATCCAGAAATGTTTAAACAGACAGCTCGGCTTTGGGCACACGTGTATGCTGGAGCACCAGTTTCTAGTCCAGAATATACCAAGAAGATAGAAAACCTTTGTGCTATGGGATTTGATAGGGTAAGTCTTGCTTCTCCTAAGAACTGCTATTTTTACTGCTATCAGGTACAGTAAATTTTTTGGGTAAAATCTGCTTCCTTAAGATCCAGAATTGCTTTCTTTTGTGTGGGAGCTTCTATTGGAAGATTGTTATATTATGCCTTAAGTAACAATGTTCTGCTCTTTGTGAAATTTCAGGGAACTGCAGTCACTACGCGGTTCTTTGTTAAGTGTCTTGCTTCAATTTAGCAGTTGTCATGTGTGTGCTTTCCGTTAGTGTACACCGTCCAGAGTCACTTTTTTGTGAGGTGGGCGGCCATATAAATATGATCAGTAGATAAATAAATAAATAAAATAAAATAGTGCCATGCTGAATTGAGTTTGTGTAGGTGCACCTTCTGACACAAGTCACTTGTTGTCTTTTTGCAGAATGCAGTAATAGTGGCCTTGTCATCAAAATCATGGGATGTAGAGACAGCAACAGAACTACTTCTGAGTAACTGAGCCATGTGCTGAAAACTGCTTCGGTAGCCCAGCTTGCCCCTTCTTGAGGAGCGTCACCATCTCTTCTTTTTAGGTTTCGATATAGATTCTCTTTTAAAACTGGCATTCTTGCCTGATGCTATCTAGGCACTATTGGAGACTGACAAACTGCTCTGTAAATAAAGCTAATTAAACGTCTGTGTAAATTTAAGAAAGGGGGAAATACTTTAATTTTTTTTCTTATTAAATATTGTAAATTCCTTGAGCTTGGCTAAAACGATGGGGACAACTTGCCTACTGTAGTGTTAGCAGTGTGACCAAGACTAGCAGGAATTTGCATCAGGATTTTGACTTTATTCAGAACACATCAGATTGTGTCTGTAATCATCAATCGTTGTCACTCATCCCAGCTCCCTTACCGTTTTTAATATGGATCCTACATGCCTGTGGACTGACCTTATATTTGCATGCTTGTACTTTACATAGACAATTTAAGCAAGTAGGGTGAACTGAACAGAGCACCATTTGAAGTACCGGAGCATTCCTTCTTGTAACTTTTTACCTAAAGTTTTCCAGATGGGCTCAAAACTCAAAAACGATGGCCTACTCCGCTATTTTCACCACTTTAGGAGTAACGATCCTGAATGTCCTCCTTGCTCCCAGCCCCCCTTCAGCTGCACGCACAGTTGCAATAATCACACCAGGACCTCTCCGGAATCTGTGGGTATCTGTGCCATCTAGCCTAGTTTTCCACTTCATGTGGTATATTTTGAATAACCAGTAAAAGTGTTTCCACCATTGTAATTTCTACACAATTGTATAAAGGTTTGGTATATTTGGACATAGCACAAACCAGTGGAGCTGCTCTTTTATTTCTTATGCAGAAATCAAACCTCTTTCAATAAATTCTGGCTAGAATGAATTCACTGAAAAGAACTGGGTCTCTGTTAACACTGAGAATGCCACCCCTTTTCTCTAGCGTATGCTGTGACGCAGTCAGCTTTTGGGACATAATTTCAAATAGCAGTTGCTTATAAAGGGTTGTAAAAGACCCGCTTGTGTGCATTTTTCCCTAGCTGACATTTGGAAATCTTGTTGGTTTTTTTACTGTACATATATGTTAAATGCCAGTAGTAGTTTCTCCAGGATGACTGTTCCTGCTAAAACAACTGTACATACAGTGTATCTTTGTATTCATTCTGAGAGATCTGAACTCTTCAGATTGTTAGTTTTCTATAAGTCCAAAACACATACTTTTTGTTGAAAGACGGAATATTTCAGAGGTGCCCTGAGAATTCTTCTGAGCAAAATGCAGTGGTACATTTGGAGCATATCAAATTGTTTTCCTCAGTCCGATTCTTATGTACTGTAGATAGAAATGTTTACATTAATCCATGTTTTAATTGAAGAACAGGCAATGGGCTACTCATGGTTTTTGCTGACCTGTCATGTTACATTACTGTAAGAAAATAATGAGAAATAGAGATGGGCATGCAGGGTTCTTTTCTGCAAGATATCCAAGTTACCTGTAGTTTCAGATGTTAGGACACAGAATATAGTAGTTACCTGTGCAATATGAAGCACTGATTTTTTTTCACATCCCATTTCTGCATTCAGTGATTGTGTGGTTTATCTTACAGTCATGTAAATCACTGGCAGATGCCAAAGGAAATGTGACTCTCCTCTTTTTTTTTTTTTTGGTATTTCCTTGATATTTATTTTTTTTAAACGAATTGTTGCTGCTCAACATTTTTGTTAAATACTAGCTGGGGCAAATATAACCCTGGCAATCTGCCATTTGTGTTTGTGTTTTTTTAATGGACTATATTTTGATGAGCTCATCCACAATATTATTTACCCTGGTGGTAATTGTGTAAATGCCGAATAGATTACATTTTTCCTTGTTCTTTGCACATTAGTAAAAGAAAGAACTTGGAAGTAGTTAGTTGGGATAAAATGTCTTCTGCTTTTACATTTAGATAATCTTTCTAGGGAAAATTCTGTGATTGTGTCAAATGAAACTAGAAAGGCTTTGAATGCAGGAAGGGTGCTCATGGTGTGTGTGTATATATATATGTGTGTGTGTGTGTATATATATACACACATACATACACATGCATACATACATATACATACACATATATACATATAGGGTGCTCATGATGTATGTGTGTGTGTGTGTATACACACACACACACACTGTGTGTGTGTATATATATATATATACACACACACATACATACACACACACATCACTATGAAGCTGTTCCCTTGCCTACAGCGATAATTTCGGCCTAACTTTAACTTACGCATAAGAATGTGAGCATTGGAAGACAAAGAGCAAATTTATATGGAAATTGTAGAAGTACAAGGTTTCCCTAGTGGTTCAATCAAAACTAAGTGGGTGGAAGTTTCTGAGGGGAAAGGAAGAGCTATGTTGATCTACAAAAGAGTCAGTAAAGATATTTGTGTTGGGCTTGGAAGGCAGTTGAGCTGAATAGGTAAAAATGCTGTCAGGAAATCTAATTGCAGGTAGTAATAACTTGGAAATGATTAACATTGACCAGATTTTCATTTTTTAAACAATTCTAAAATATAAATTGAGCAACCTTTTAGATATGGCATGTGCCTATGCAGTAAAGGAACTGCTGCATAATTCATCTGGTCCACACAATGTTGTTCTAATTTACCCTGCATGGAACACAGCCCTGGGCTAGACTGCCCTGTCCAGCTCTGGCTCTACAGTGATGCAGGATTCTCCTTTGGAAAACATTCCAAAAGACAGTTGCAATCAATTGGTAATTCAGAAAAGATGCTCTTCCCAGAGTCCTCAACAGATCTTAGTAAGTGCACAGATACATCATACGGTTAGTTTCCAAAAACTCCTAATGGAAGACAAGCTCCTCTTTCCCTATTACAAGATTTTGTTCTAGGTGTGGAGTAATGTACTACTGTTACAAATAAAGTTTCCCCATTCCAGCTGATCTGTAATCAGAGGCACATTTTTTTCAGCAGTGCTTAGTATTTTGTTGAAAGCTATCAGGTTTATATTATGCTTTTTTTTTTTTCCTTGTGCTTCATTTGGGAAATAACTGAGGTACAAAATTGCAGCTGGAGTAAATGAAAGGAATAGTCTTCAAATAAACAGAATTGCTGCAATGTGAGTAAACTATGCAAACCCTGTGCTTATTAGTCAAGACAGAATTAGCATCCTGTTTTGGAAAAGGCAGCACCAACCTGTTGCTCATATTTTATAATGTAATTGCAGAGAGGCACACTTCTTTTGCCAATGGCACTTCTTACAGCCAATGGGACTTAGCAGCCACTGGAGCGTGTTTGGAAATGGACTTGTTGGGCTCAACAGATTAATTTGAAGGCTTGCTTGTTTTCATTGGGAAACCAAATAATGACACAAGTGTGAAGCCCATTGCTTGTTGGACTTGCTCTGTACAAAAGGCCCTTGGCCCAGTAACGGCACAAATCATATAGGAAATGGAAGCAAGAAATAAAGCGCTCTCTAACAAGTCTTGGATAGAGATTTTGCACGGAAGAGTATGCGAAGTGCTACTTGCAAGATCTCTACGGAGGCATCAGTTCAGTTGTCCTGCTCAGATATGACTTTAGCAAATCCAGCAGATTCTTCTATTCCCAATGCAATTGAAGGGATGTGGTGTGATACCTATTTTCATGAACTGGTTTGTAGAACTACTTTCCCTCCATTTTCAGCTGTTAGAGCTTTATGTTCAAGTGACCTTACCTTATTTATTTTATTCTAAACAGTTCTGAATCCATTCCTGAAAGATAATAGACCTCATTTTGGTTAAATCACCTGCTCTGTAGTAATGGGCGTGTAGAGAGGGGAGAATCTGCCCAGTGGTTCAACAAGTAGCCATTAAAATGCTAACAAGATAAAAAGTCCTGCAAGAGCCCATTTTAAAATCTGCAATATGGTGCTCTAGATCACTAGTGAGGGCATCTCTCTGAAACAAAGTGGTAGGGTGGAAGATCTTGACTCATCTATTTATTTTCCATCCCGGTTTGGGATTTTTCCCTGACCAAGACAACAAAGGATACTTGTAGGAAGTGCTTAATTAGCATTTCACTTCATTGTAAGCCATTGGTGGGCTGGAATATAGCGTTGGTGTGTTTGTTGAGAATAAAAGCTACACAACACTTTTGTACACACTTTTTTAAAATAAATACGCATTTTAAAAATGTTGATTTCCATTGCAAATGCTTAACAATAAATGCATGTTTCCTGAAAGCTTTTTCATCTTATTTTGTGCCAATAAATTACTGGGTGGAAGTAATGCATCATTATCAATTGTGTTGTAATATAAAAAGTTGCCAACGAAGTGTAACTTTAACATAAAGGTGCAGATGTAGAACTAGTTAAGCATTTCTTAAAGGGTATTTTTAAGGAACAAATGCCTAAATGAATTTGGGGCACAGTTGTTTTTCATGCTTCCTTATTCAGTGGCTTCAAACACCTATGTATTTTAAAAGACAGCAAATTCTCTATGGCTCATTTATATGCAGTTTGGTAAAATTCTATTTGGCAATATAACAGGAAAAATCTCATTCAGATTCCACTACTGGTGACTTTATTGACATGTCTCTGTTTTTCTGGGCAACAATACAGTGGTTTACTATTGCCTTCTGTGATATTTGTCAATTTCTCAGTGTAACCTACAGGACTTGGACTTTGTGCTGTCCCTCATCCAAATATTAATGAGGCCTGAACTTGTTTAGCTTTTCTGAGAATAGTCGAGTAGGTGCTGCCTTTGAATAAATTACTGCAGTAGTAAAACCTTATCATAAACTTGAAATTTGTTCCAAGCTCTGAGCCAAATAAGAACTAGTTGCCATTGAAAGCTGCTGGGTATTTAACAATTACTTTATAGTCAAATATTGAAGTGACACAGAAAATCAATGTTTTAAATACTTCTGGTCAGTAGGATATGGGCAATAGTAGGGTGGCTTGAAGGGCTTAGAGATCCTAGCTGAATAGAAGACCGAGCATCCTTTGGGGAAAAAATGGGGATTTGGTTGTGCTTGTGACATAATGGTTAAAGCGTGCCCAACTGTCTAGTACCATCCTTACTGATAGGCAGGAATGCTCAGTCTGGCAGGAATGTGGCTCAGGCTGGTCTCTTACTAAAAAAAAACATGCAAAAGCCTTGATCAATCAAAGTCACGAGGGGTGATGGAACTAATATCTGGGCTCCTCTAATGATGATCATAGGGTATGGAAGCTTGTGACTTTGAACAAAAAAATGGCAACAACATGAAATTTAACTGTCTGAAAGCAAGAAAGGGAAGCTTGTAGGAGGTCTGAATGAAAGTGGACAATCTTGTGGAGTTGATGAATATAGGTAGAGGTGAAAGTATAGGCTTATGAATGAAAGATCTAAAATAAAAGGTCCAAAGCATGAATTGGTGGAATTCATAAAATTAAAAAAAATAAAAAGTAGGAATCTCTAAATCAGTGACAGCTTATATTTAACAATTGTGATAGTGGAAGCAGGAATGAGTTCTCGGAAAAACTGAATAGCATTCGAAATGAATGTGATGCAAAGGGGAAAAATTCATTTAGCTAACATCAAGATATGGATGGGAATGGGATGAGAGAATACAGGAAAAGTGATTGGGACATTTGGAGAGCAAAGAATGAATGAGACTGGTGACTTAATTATTGGTTGAGAAAAAGTTCTGTTCATTTCAAATATGCCTTTTAATAAAATTAAAAGTTGGAAAAGGCACTACCAGACTCATTTTTTGCTGCCAGACTAACATGTTCTCATCCTAAAATACCTACAATTTGAAATATGTAGGTTCAGTAAGATTTACCATGCATTTCATACAGGATTACTGAAAATCATATAAAACATTCGGTCTGGTGCAACATCCCAAGCTTTGTCATGGTGATCTTGAAATTGGAAATTGCTTTAGCAGTACTGAAGCAGGGTCTTCTGGGGGAAACTGAAGAAAGATGTATTTGCATGTTTGTGGGAGAACTGAAGAGAAACTTAACCAAGGGTGTTCAGCAGCCGAATGTGCTGCAGTTTACTTTACTGCAACAGCTATATCCGAGATCTGAGCAGTAAGTTCTAAAAGATGTACAGTAGTCCAGAAAATAAAATCCAAAAGGAATTTGGAATGCTCTGGGTTTCTCCTGAGTGAATCGTAGGTAAAATATCCTAATTTGTCCTGCTACTCTTAACACTATTTTAACAAACTGTAACCAGCTTTCAGGGTCTTACAAAGCAGAACAGGAGGCTTTTAGGGTTAAGATTAGTTATTAAGGGCCAAAGGAACCACAACTTGTCTGGTCAGAACAAACAGGTCTAAGTTTGTCTGACTTATTACTGTACTTCAAAAGGACTGAAGTTCAATAAAGGATGGGTATCTATAGCTAGGGAGATTTCCTATAGGCAGTAGTCCTCTTTCAGTAGACACTTCTTCACTAATTATATATATTTAAATTGTTAAAACTGACAAGGTATTAAGCAGAGGGCTAGAAGATCAGTCATGACAGGATCAATAAATGTCAAGCCTGTATGCTCTAAATATCTCCAAAAAGGGAGCAAACTTATTTTCTAGAGTAAGATCCTCACCAAAACAAGCAAAATCAAATCAGTTAGGCAGTTAGAATTACGTGCACACGCATCAGTTCTGCTACTACAGCTACTTCTCCATTCCCGTTTTTCTAATGCGCTTTCTCAGGGATGTGTAAACCATTCTGTGCTCAAACCGTTCTGTATTTTGAGAACAGCGGTGCTCAAGTGGCCCACATCCGAACTGTAATAACTCTCCTTGTGATGCTACTCAGTCTCCGAGGAAACAGAATAGGCACAATAAAGCTAACGTAATGGGTGATTTCAATGTTTCTAGAATAGAAGCCCTCAAGAGTCTCAGGGCATGGAGATTTATCAGTTTGACCTTACCTGGAATGAAACCGCTGAATACATCTTAATGTTTTGTGAAGTTCTAAACAGGTGGCTGAGAAAAAAGGTAGCCAGCAAGCCAAACTATAACATTGCTTTAGGGTTTTTTGTTTTGCTTTTCCTTTTTTGTCAAGAGCTAAAAATAAATAAGGGAGCTTTGGAATGCATACATCTTCCTTGTAATTAATATTTTAGATTGTATTAAGTCTCAAAGACCCCAATGCAAACAGGAAGTTGCATTTGGCCCAGCGCTGGGCACAAAGGCCCACTGCACCTTCTAACATCTCTACCATTTCAACGTTGCTCCTGTAGTGCCAGGCTGGCACTTAATGAATGGTGGAGAATGCACAAAATTGAATTCACTGCCCATGTTATGCTAGAAGACTGCTGCAAGTTCAGAAAATATGTCTTCTCCTCAAAGCAATAGTGAGGATGTTTACATACGGAACATTATAATCCACTTTTTGTCCCTAAAACAAAGCCCAAAGTTAGCTAGGTCTGTTTACAAATCAGATGGAGAGGTGTTTAAGGAAATAGCTGTTTCAGATTTGCATCCTATGCTATTTTTATTGCTTTGCTGATATTGTTTTAAGCTGACAACAATCAATGAGTCACTGATCCCCGATGGAAGATCCCCAGAGAAAGGAAGTGCCCATCAAGTTCACACAGCCTGCATCCTGATCAGGATTACTCAGAATGGAGACCAATTGTAGAAGATGGCCTGCATACATAATTTTTCTGTGTTACTATGGGGTGACCAACTTCATAGGCTTGAGACCCACAATGTGGTGTCAACAGACACTGATGAGTTCACAGCTACTCCTGTTAAATGTTTCCAGGCACCCATGTCAAGGAGGGAAAAAAGTGAACTTGTGGATGATGGGCTTGAAAGCTGAGGAGAGTTTGGGGGATAGGAAGGGGGTGCTGAGCAATCTGAAGTGGCATGAACAAATCTTATAGGGTGCTGGAAGGGAACTAGAATAAAAAGAGAGTCTTTGATACTTGTTTCTTCTAAAGTATACCTTCGTTTACTGAAAATCATTATCATGATAAACTTTTAAAATAGAGAATCCAGAGCAGAATGAATAGTTTCAAATTCTCCTAGGAAACATCTTTCAGCTTAACGAGGGAATGCTCCAAAACATCTCTCAGACAACGCCAATGCTATCTTCATCCGCCATGCCGCAAATGACCCATGGTATAAAATGGCTCATAGTAACTTATCATTTTAATTCTGCATTCTCTACTGTAATTATTTATGGTGATAATGTCTGAAATATCTCATCACAATAAAATCAAAGATATTTAGTGTCACTGAATGGAATCTTACGGAGAATGTCTGTGGTAACAAGATGATTGAATTTTAAAACATTTAGAGAAGACATGAGTCAGATACAGCTTTCTAAATCTTCAACTGATATACAGTCTTTACTCATTGCATCATTTGTGTGTGCACATATAAAACCTCCATTTTTTTGGATTGGTTTAAATTGTATTAGAATTTCAGGGAAAGACGTAAACGATCATCTCTGTAACATGGTAATGAATCTCTATCACTTTGCCCCAGCTTATCTTCAAGAGAATTTGTTAACGTAGTTCTAAAACACACAATGTAAAAAGACCTGATGTGGTGAAGAATTGAGGGTAGTATGAAGTTGTAAAGTCTTCATTATTATGACGACAAAATAACAGTACTGTCTTTTTTGAGATCTAATGGTTCCGACTGTGTTTTTGGATTTCATTGTCACAAAGAAGCTCCTTCTACACCACTTTATGCATAACAGTGCAGCTTTATCAACATTTGGCTCCACATTTTCTACAGATAAAGTAGTTCAAAATAAAAGTGGCCAATCTAATTTTTCAACTACCTCCCTTTCAACATTTCATGAAAATTGGTTAAAAATAATCTGAGTACAAACTATAACGGTAAGGAATTGACAACAGCTTACCTTGGCGGCTACATTTTTAAAATTCAAAGGCATTATTATTTTGGTACAGACAGGTAGTGATGCAAGTAAAAAACGAACAAATTTCTGCTTAAATAAGTTCAAAGCTTAGAAAGACTCCCTGACGACATCCTCCGTTCCTTTACTATTCTGCCATTTTGGCACCTTGAGGTACCTGACTATTGGACCTTTCTGACCATTCCAGAGGCCTGAAATGGTTTTGCGCTGGCAAATGCCAGCTGAGATTCTGTTTGTGCTGCAATCTTTCGAGGTTGTGTTATCCATCAAGGAAGTTGGACAGCTAGTGAGGGATGCTGAGTAACTTTCACCTTCACTTCTCCTGCCTAGCTCTAGACCGTAATCCGGCAGACCGAGGGGTTCTTAACTGGGCTGCCATTCCACATTATGCTCCTTGAAAGCGGCCAATGGTTTTTGTGCTAGATCAATGTTTAGGCAGCGGTGCATACAGGTCAGAAAAATTGTTGTGTGCAATTGGGGGAAAGCAGAAAGATACCAAATGACACCTAGAAGCATTTATTTTATGCAACAAACTTAAATATGATCGCGTGTACTTAAAAGTGTACACTGTATGCTGAACAATGCCAGGAAAAAAATCAATATTGATGCAAGTTTTCTAAATTAAATGTTAAAAAAAAATGAGATGGGTCAGGAAGGAAAACGTAGAACAGACTTAGTTTCAATCAGCACAATGCTTAAAATTGAGAGCAACCCTAAACGTTTTCAATGTTCCTTACAAAGCTGCCAAAAATCCAATATTTTTAAAAATTGATTTTTTACATCAATAATAAAAATCTGGTGACAAACATTATAAAATCAAATGCTGGGATGACTTTACTCCATTTAGATTTAGAATATTCCAACAAAACCACAGGAGTAAACCCACTTAGAAGTGATATATGTTTTTATAAAACGAACAATATGTACATTTATTGCAACTTATATTAAACTAAAATGGAGGGGAAAATTAAAAAAGATGAAATGTCTACTTGAAAATCAATCATCAAATGATTAGTCTCCCACTCTTGATAAAAGTCAGAAAGCAACATGTATAAAAATTGCCACTATGTGACTTCTCAAAGCAGGAACCAAAATCTGTACATCTTATTTTGCTGGAAAAAAATTATACATAAGTCTTTAAAATGAAAGCAGATGAGAATTCAGTTTTGTTTTTATGTCTCAGATTAAAATTCATTCAGTAGGCTTCTACTTTTTCTTGAAAAAAGAAGATGGGTTAATACCCAATTACAGGTATGCGAATTTTTAACAATGCTGTAAGGACCTCTCTCTGACTTTCTTAAAAAAAAAATGCAGCATGAAAATTAATGGAGTAAAACACTTTTAAACTCCAGATGTGCAGAAACTGGAATTAAGTGTTAAGCAATTTGCTTAATTATTGACTTTTCATAAAAAAGTCTCTGGGGAAATAAGTACAGATGCTTTTAGCCTCTCTCAAGAGTTTCTGCAGATTAATTTTATCTGAAAGGGAAGCAGAGTTTTCCTTCTGTTTTCAGAGCTGAAAGCTGTATGATCTGAAGTATTTTCAGTTCCTATACAGGAAGTTTCTTGGGTTTTGCAGAAGCTTGGAGCATGCCTTCATTTGGCCCTCCTCTCTTCCTTTTGCGAGAAAGCTTTCTTTTTACCTTGTGAAGGAGGGAAAAAATAGGTTAAACTCAGAAGATCATTCAGTTCAAAAATTAACTTTAATCATCTTGAAGGACCTACAGTAAAACATCAATTGTATGGATCGGGGTGGGGGTGAAGGGAAGCAGGAGGAGGGGTGTCCATTAGAGCCAAATGTCTATTTAATTTGAATATATGTAAGTGACATTACTTACACAATTTGCATTTGCACGAATGACAAATTATGTCAATTTTTTGAGTGCTTCAGAAACAACAAACTCCATTACTTGGGGTGAAGCCTAACCTAACATTTTGTTTGTTGCATTAAAATCCATTGAATTGGGAGTCCATAAAGCTCAAGTGTTATTATATTTGACTGGTTACAATAAGGGCTGCAGTCTCTGCGTGAGCTCTTCTCAACCTGGGTGAGACTTCGGATGCGTTGGAACTGCAGTGGAAAACCCCCATTCAGACTGGGGGAAACTGGTGTAAGTATTGGATTGCTAAACCCTATTTAGCACGGTGAGACTTCTGAAGATACACGCTAAGTCTGCATTGCTAGCTTAGGTTTTTATATCAGACCTGTATTATAGAAGACAAAAAATTGATCTCTGACGGCAGCTTGTTGCTGAAATTCACTCTGCAATGTTTTGTGAAAGCCTAACCACCGCGAATCTAAAGTCATTCAGAAGCCAAGTCAAGTCAAACAAAGGGGAGGATGGTATCATGTATTTCTGGTTTACCAACTTTCATTATCTAAGTTAGCTAAATTTGTAAGATGTTGTAACAAGAGAATCATGATAGCCGTTATTTCTAACAATTGTCATCATCTCCTTCCAGCATTCAGACTTTAATGACCAACAACGTAGCCCTGAATAAGCTGCCTGGTGCACCTTCAGAAAGCCTCCCTCTGTTAGATCTGTATCCTCAGTGTCGTCCTGGCTGCTCTCACAAAGCTTAAAAAGATCCATTTCACTTGGAGAATATCCTGGACTTGACTCTATCTCCAACACTGAATCTCCATCACTGCCCAGCACCTGGCTTCTGAAAAATGTTAGAATGGCAATATCATATGGGAACAAAGTTCTGTCTTTCATTCACAGTTGAGCACAGTTAATTTCTGTTTTTCAAAACTGAAATCTAAGTAGGCTCACATGAGATATTTCCAGGTTTTTAAAAACTACAAGTGTGTTTTACAGACATGTATACATGTGCTTGATAAGACTGCTACAGCAAGCTTTAAACTGCTTTTGAGGGAATCACAAGGTACAACTTACTTGGGTTGAGATACTGCAACATTGATACCCAGCCCAACTTCAGATATAAAGAGATACTGGCAATAATCTCTGGTGAGGATATTAGGGAATCAGTAAACATTGACTTTGTGCATTTAATTCACCAAGGAATTGGACATAGGCAAATGTCCTGCTAATGGCAACAGAGATTTGAGATTCCTCTCTTGCTTTGAGTCATTTGTGTCTTGACTTATGCGTAGAAGACAACAGCTTAGGTGAACAAAAGATTACCAGATCCTTAGCATTTTGAATGGGAGTGCTTATGGGGGAAATAAAGTTTTAAAAGTGCAAAAACAAGTTTGTAGGATAATCTCTCTTGTTTCTGATAATGTACATTCTTAAAAGCCCCTTATCACTTTGTAATCTACAGTATTTCACAGCAGCTGCCATTGCTGGCGAGAATGAATGCAAACTTTTAAATGAGAAGAGAAATTCTGCTTCCTTACTTTATGCACTGTATGTCATAAGATCATGGCACTGGTGTGAATCCTACTCCACCCAATGGGACAGCAATTAAGCAGAAATACACTTTGATTTGTGCATGGCTACAATATGAGTTGCAGTATCAGATTCCCACAACATGGGTGGTCAACACAATTGGACCTACTAGTGTAATATTACAACTTCACCTGTTTCTTCTGCTGATGTTAAATTAGATACAGCCCCCTGACTCTGATGTTAGACTTGAAAAAACCATGAAGGTTGCTTTTATCCAAAGGATCTAAGTATTAGTGATACACTTTTTTTACTGCATACTAACAACTATGTCATTACAAAACCTCGGATGATTCTAAGTAACTGAACACAGGAGAGTGTTCAGATAAGATAACAAACAATAAAATTGTAGCATTGTGTCTGGGTAGAATTCAGCAGGAAGAGAAGGGTGGTAGGGAGACACAGAGCACATAGTAAGAAAGGTAAAAAGCTGTCCCAGAGCTAAAATCACAGACTAATAACCAGTTTTTCTCCCCTAACAAAACCAGTGAGGGCTAAAGCCAGCAGACTATGTACTTCACTGGTTAGCCCTCAGGACAATAAACCAGCGTGTGTTTACCTTTGCAGATCAATCTGTCTCTGTGCCGGGACTGGTTTTTTTGCGGCCTCTTGCTGCTTTGGTGCCTTGGCGTTACTTGCCTCCAAGCCCCCTGGACCTTCTTGAGTTGGTGCTGCCCTTTTCCGCCCTCGTCCAGAGGGTTTACTCATTTCAGCACCTTTTGCTGTGCCGCCCTGAGATTCAGACTTGGGTGGACGTCCTCTCCGGGGTTTGGGAGGAGCAGGCTGACCCGTTTCATCTGTTTTCTTTTCTTCTGCTTTTTGATGAAAATTCTCTGTTCCGGCTGCTGTCGTGATTCTTTTTTTGCCCCGATCAGCACTGACATTTCCTTGTGGTGTCTGATCAGAATTAATCTCCTGGGGAAGAAAATGACTTACTTTTTTGTCAGCTGAGTGGCTAAAATTCAGGTAAAGATTGTATCTGTTTTAATCAGCTTGCACTTCTGAAATACATTTTCAAGGCTACTGGCAACAACAACTACCTTGAGAACATCACAAAGTAATTAATCCAAGGGGATTTATTGTTGCAAATGGGATTTCTCATCTCTACATCATGCCCTTTCTAAGAGTTTGTTTATAAAATACATAAGTCATTACTTGGACACCTCAGAATGAAAAGTCAACAGCTTTGAAGAGGGTTCCAAAATGTCCAAGCACGGATCCAAGTGCTGGACCTCACATACTGTTCCTTTAACGGCAACAGGAAGAGGCAATCCTGCCTATGCAATCTACTGACTGTGCAAGACTCTTTGTAGTCCTCTATTACATTTGGGCAAATGAGAAACCCAAGTTATTTTTAATTAGTCTCTCTGATCTTAAAACTTATACTGAATCCAGTTTAAAGAGTTCTATCCAAGTACTACATTTAAACTATATTTTTATCTTGTCTTTCCTACAGGGTGTTCAAGAGGGCAGCACACGTGATGCTCCCTCAACCCGTGTTGTCATCACAGTAAGTGGGAAGTGGGAGAGTGGGAGGGGGAGAGGGGCCCACAGTGAGTGGGCTTTATGGCTGATCAAGGAACTGACCAGAATCTCTCTGATCTATGTCCAGTTTCTACATCCTATGGCTTGCTGGTTCATATTTTATACTTAAAATAAATTAATTTACCAAACTGCAAACATTATGGACACAACATGTATTGCTTAATTATTATATGCTGGCATAACGAGCACATTCATAATCCTACTTCATGTGCACTAACAAGTCTATCAATCTCATATTTAACATCATTTTTTCCCATTTGTCAGAACAATCGGTATCATAAAACAGCAATTCTAATGGTTTCTTTACTCAGTTTAGCTAAATAATAAATTATGAGTTTGAAGTATCTCGTCCATACCTTGTTCTTTACAGGTTCTATTTTTGTTGGAGTGACTGAAATAATTCTTACTGGATTTTCATCATTTTCACTGACCCCAGTCTCTGATAGGTCTGAGCTCTGCTCTCTGTTGGACAATTTTTTAAAATATTAATGTACACTTGCTTTTTCTTTGTAACTATGAAACCAAGTGATCAACAAGGAAATGCTGGCCAGCTATTTTGGGAGTTAACTGTCAAATTCAATGAGTTTAGAAAGCATTCCAAATAAACTTTCTGTGCTCTTAGTCTGGTCTACCTTTGAGATTTTTAACAAATGAAAGTGAACATTTCCTCTTATGTAACCATCGTTCTTTATGTAGGCAATGTGAGTTATATTAGAGTTGTACAGCAGATTAAAAGAGGAAAGGTGGACTGGAGCACACACGAGCATCCACGTTGTACTTATCAGCCCTTCCTTAAAGCAGCCATGTCTTTCCCGGGGCTGCAGCTCTAGCGTGATTCCAGGAAAAGATGCATTTGGTCTAAGGAGGTGCATGCAGGTGCCACGTGCACTGCTTTGTGCTCTCCAAAGTACCATTTTGCCTCCAAATCTGAAAGGCTGCACAGCCCTATAAAATACTGCAACTGTATAGAACAATTTAAAGCAAGCTTCCCTATGCCAGGTGCCCTCAAGGTATGTAGAAATACAACAGGAATGGCAAACCAGTTAGCTGGGAATTTCAGTTCAACACTTCTGGAGGGGAGATACGTAATAGAAAATACTTAAATGGCAGGACTCACTGCTCCCAAAATGATAATGAGGTTTGGAGAATGGAAATTATGGAGAATGGAGATTAAAAAGGTTTCAATTAGTGAGTTTCAATTATTAAAGGAATATTATTTATTCACGAGATACATAAGTATCCGTATTTATGTGCTCTGTTGTATAGTACGTTCAACCAAGAAGTTGTATTCAATGCAATGATTAGAGGGTGAATCAGGAAGTTCAAATATTACTTATATTTCTGCAATCAGGTTTAAAAAAAAAGGCATCAATAGAAAAGGTATTTCTTTTCAAAATTAAGGTGACTTCAGTACAGTTTCATACTGAGAAAAAAAACTGTTTTAACACAAAAGCCTATTTTAACGCCTCAACCATATTACTGAAGCATGTACCTTGTTCTGTTTCCTGTAGGAGAGTTCAGCTCTGAATTTACACTATTATTGCTTCCAGTTTCTGATCCTGTGTTTCGAATATATGGTCTCCTTCCAGTTGCAGACAAAGGTTTATTTACTGCCCCTAATACCCCAGTTGGTTTCGGCTGTAAAATATAAATGTGGATTTAAAAAAAAAACACCGACACAAATAACTTTATCAGGGTATAATTTAAACTTTTGAGTATTAGGGAAGTACGAACATTCCATGCACAAGCTATGCACAGAATAGCTTATTTTAGGGGGTTGGTGAGCGAACCAAAACAGGCAATTCAGATGTCCCCTTGTGGATGTGGCTGAGCTCAGGGCCATTTTGTCTGGACACGATGCAAAACTCAGCTGGACTGGATAGGAAGCATTTCCAATGCTTGATTCTGTTGTAGCTACTGCAATTGGAAGTTATCTTGTTTACTGCAAATGGGGTGTTATCTTTTGAATTCTCTTCTCTGAGCCAGTACGGCAGGAGGGCAGTACGGCACAGTCACACCCCTACTGGTATTAACTGAGGCTGGGTGGGGGTTAATCTCAGTGGATTTGGGGACTGAAAAAGAAGGCATTTAGGGAACACATTTTAGATTCATAATGAAGAAAAACCAGCTATAGAGGAAAAAAAACTGCTGTGAAGAGACACTGGACCCAGTGCTGAACTAATGCTTCTGTTGGAGTGGTGCTAAGTGATGGTTAGGTATCTGGTTGCCAGCCTGTCTACCTCTAAGGAAACCACCACAATCCTGATATCCCATCTTAGTTTAGTTTTTTAAAATCTGTTTTGCTTCCATATACTCGGGTGGGTGCAGGGTTTCTCTGCTGCCTTTCATTCCCTTATTCTCAAATTAGTCTCCTTAGGATTGTTTTAAACTCCAAGGAGTTTAATCCCCCCGCCACTTCCCAGTTTAGTGCTAGCCAGGTGCATTTACCAAACTAGATCACCCTTTACAAAAACCCCACTGAGCAAGCCATGAATGACAGTGCTAGTCGAGTTAGAGGGAAATGCCAAGGTTTGTTGCTCTAGGGAAGGGGAGGTGGGCTGCTCTAAGGAAACCTGCCTTTAGTACTCTGACTGCCGGGAGGCAGCAGTGGGGCCATCACTAGCCCCAGGAGTGAAGAAGGGCCCAGTGTTGGGGAAGAAGCTCTTTCCTACACATAAACAGAGGAGGCCACAGCGGTGACCCTTCAGGCAGGCAGG